AAAACTGATTTGGAAATTACTGCACTGCATAAATTACCCAATTACTGATCATACCAAATTTCACCTATCGAGGTGAATTATTATGTCCTCAATAATGCTGACCGACACAACTCAACTTCACAATAATTCATTCTTCAATTATTTCCGACATCTCATATCAGATTTCTGCCGCATTAATTGCATACTGGCTGCATGTTCTGACATTAGGATTATAATAATGCCAAACTCTATCTCCAGAAACTTACCTTATACGTTTCGATCTTCTATTAACCGGCTCGCTAATCCTTCAGTCTTCTTCACCAATGGTCCGAAACAACAAATGGATTCGGCACTTTCAAATATTCGCAAATCATATTCCTTTCTTCCTTTTAATATCATAAAAAGAATTTATCGATCTCGAGTGGAAAGATTGAGAGTGTTAATGATCCACAATATTCCAAATGATATCCGATGGTTGATTGAAGCAAACGTCCGACTTTCTGGTGAATTTCCAAATTCTTATAATTATCTGTCAACTATTGCCAAGAAACGTAGAGCAAAACGAATAGGCGGCTGCTATAAATGTGCTCATTGGAACTGCGACACTCGATGCAAATCAGTGGATTTTGCGTCTAAAAATTGAGAAGATAAAATAGCTTGCATAAAAACTGGCTTGAATAATGAATCTCTGGATCAAACCCTTCAACAAATTCTCGAGACACATCCCAGTGGATATGTGCATCAAGAGCTTATGTCTTTATGGGTCTGTTTTAAAGATGAACAGAACTGCTATAGTCTCGAAAATATTGTTGCTAAAGATCCTATTTGCAACATCCATCTCTGTTAACTCCCTTATTAAAAGGTATCTGATTTCTTCTGATAATACATCTCATTTAATGCTCAACTTCTTCCTTGTCTGTTGCTTCAGTCAATATAATACTCATTTTTCTTTCTTTAAATATCCCCTCTTTTCTTCAATTCAAGTATCTCTCTACTCCAAATGGAGACTTCTGAATTTTCTCAAGTCACGAAAGTTCTTCCTTCTATAAAAACCATTTGTGTTCTTGGAGGATCTAAACTTGTATCTGATATGGGATATTATATACACAAGGTTAAACCGGTCAACTCAGCCGGTCGAGAAG